ATATTATAGATTTTAATAGAAAATAAAGATAAAAATATTAATTAAGATTTTAAAATATTTATTTAGATAAAAAATATAAATATGATAACTAAATAAATGAAAAAAAATTAAATATATAATAATTTATTTAATTTTTATTTTTGCTCCGCACCCATGTGCATGTATACTTTTTAGTAGACCTAATTAGTTGTAATATTAAAGTAATTCTTATACATTACGTAAACGTTATGTTTTTATACATATACAGTTTTAGTGTTCAACAATAATCACACAAACGTTTCATATCGTTTGTGTCTTTTAAATTTTTTTTCTACCGTTTACAGTAACACATAATTACAAATATAAAATTCATATTAAATAATAATTAAATTTTTGTAATTTGTTTGAATATTATCTACACTATATTTTCTTTTTCTCCTTATACAATATAATCTTGCTAATATATATTTTTAAGTATATATTTTTTCTTGACCTATTGCTAATTAAACCAAAATGAATTTTACCATATTTACTTATCCTAAGAGCGGATAGATGGTTGGTCCGCACATTCGTGCGTACCAACCACCTCACTGCTCTTAGGACATATAAAGTTTTTTAAAAAAATATAAATTATCTAATAACTATATTTAAATTAGAGTGTAATCGACGTTAACAAAATGTATGCACGACAAGTTGCATGTGAGTTTGACTTTTACACAATTAATATTTATATCTACACATATAACTGTAAGAAAATCGAAGTATGACTTTCATGTGTTAACAAAAAATAAAAATATATCTATTGTAATATATATTTTTATAATGTATGGTTGATTTAAAAAAAATATAATAAGTATATTTATGCATGTATGTATGAGTTAGAACTAAGTGAATTGTAATATTTAGATGTTGGTAAGTTTTTCTGATATTTTCCACAAACGTTATGTTTTTACACGATGCAATTATTGGTGTTTAACAATAATCATAAAATCCGTTTCTATTGTTTTGTATTTAATTAATTTTTTATTTTTCAACGTTTTATGATATATGATTTCTCAATAAAAATATAATAAACAAGGATGATAAAATTTGTGAAATTATATTTTATAAAATTCTCTGGTAGCTCTCCACTCATCTCTTCGTCAAATTTTTTATAATCCGCAATCGCTCGCATTCAAAAACTCTCTGTAACCGAATCGTTTAAGAAAATCGTATCTAAACTTATATGTGTATGATTTAAGATGTAAAATAATATATTTAATATTTGATTGTTATATTAAAAATTAAAAGTTGATATGTTCCTAACTTTAATATACTTTTTAATATATAATATAATGGATCACAATATATACAAAACTTGATTCATGAAATAATATTTTAATATATTAGAAAATATTTGCATGAAAAAATTAATATGTGCAAGATAATATTTTTAAATATTTCAAATAAAAACATAAAATTGATCCAAATTATTCTTATTTATTTTTGTTCTACTATGACTCATACTTTTTTTTTCTTAACATTTAATAATATATAAAACATTAAGATCATCTCCAATGTATTTTTCTATTTTTTCCTCTAAAATATAAGTGAACTTCTATCCAACTTATTTCTATTTTACAGAAAAAGAAAGATTATTAATTTTCCTCTATAATTAGTGGAAAAAATAACAATCTTTTTTCTTCTAAATTAGAAAATTTATAATAAAGATGGGTTGGAGATGCTTCAAACCAAAAATGTAGCCTGAGATTTTTACATAAAAACAAAGTCGTAAGGATTCATTTTTATTTTTACCTCTATTTTTTTATTTATATATACAGTATTATAATAAAAAATAGTTAGCTAAGAGGATACTTATAATTTATTTTTTTGTCTGTTTATTTTTTTGTTACATTTATAATTTTTAATTCTTGCTATATAATGAGAATTCATTCACATATGACATAAACTTTTTGTTTGTTATTTAAAAATGAGATTTGTTTAGTTTTAACTTAATCAATCAAAACATTTCGTTTATTTCAGGAAATTTGCCATGTCACATTTATGAAGTGACATTGTTTTGCACTAACTTTTCTTAAGGTGTTGACACAGCAGTTTTTTTCATTAAACATGTTTGTCAAATAATATTAAGGATAATATCAGTAATTTAATTTATGGAGTATTCACTAATTTAATTTAGATATACATATAGTATTTAAAAATATCAAGAACAAAAGGTAGTGACACATTTTCTAACAAATCATCAATTTTTAATTTATTTAGAGTAAAACAAATATATAAGATGATCAAACTTATATTTTAGTGTACATCAATATTTTTATAGAAGCTAATTATAATAAATTTTATATATCACGTCATTTTTTATATAATCAATAATAGCAAAAACATATCAAAACTCTAACCATATTTATTACATCTTAACTTTATTATTCTACTTTTTTATTTAAACACTATTCTTTCAACCTACAATTTATCATCTATTTGATTATTCACATGCAAAATGAAATCAAGCTTTTTGCATATGAAAACTTTGGCTAAATAATTATTGGCGGTTTAGTGGCATTAATATTGTGATGTGTGTTATAAAGTTATCGGAGAATTGAATGGGACCATATGATTTCTAAGTTTTATATAACAAATATGATTTGTATTTTTGTCATGTCTTTTTTCTTCTACCACATAATATACGTTATTTTTTACTAGGTGGATTTACACATATTTCTAATTTCTAAATATTCTCGGGTTCTATTTGATCATCAAATTCAAGAAGTAAAATTATTCAGATAGATGTACAAAGCATTGTCCTATAATTATTTACATGTACTAAAATCATTACTAATATATACTTTATTTTATAAATAGACAGATTTCCGATCAATGCCAATTGATAATATTCAAACCGTTATGAAGATCAATCTATGTTTGTATATGTAGATTTATTAGTAAAATGCTATTATATTTTAGACATTATTTTATGATTAAATGTTTTTGGAATCAAGAACTGTTTTCTTCTTTTACAAAGAGAGTTATTTACATTAATTTATGGTTATAGTAATTTTTTTCCAAATTAAAAACAAAAAATTGTATCTTTTTTAATTCATTCGATATAGTAGATAAGTAACAAACTATTAACCTAATACATTTAATTATTATTCAAGAGTCAAAAATAATTAAACATATACACAAATATTGTATATTCAAATCTTAGACATTGGTGAAAATGCTAAATCATATCATCAATCACATGATATAGAAAAATTATATGGCGACTTTGTATTTTTATCCAGTTATATCATGTGCTATGCATGATACTTAATTTTTAAATTAATTTACATAACAACTAAATTATCCTATATTTCATAAAAAACTATATTGTCAATGTTATAGTATAGTATTATACATAACTCATATAAATATAATTATATTATATTATATAATTTTAAATTTATATTAAATTTAAATAAATAATAATTATTTTACTCTGCATAGGATGCGGATTATTACCTAGTTTAACTAATATTCAGTTAACTTATATATATAAATATTAAGTACACGAAGCTTAATTATATTAAAGTTTATTATGCAAATAACTTATATTATATGTAGGAACTCTTAATATTAAAATTGTTTATTTCATTTTTTTATAATTATGACTATGAGTGTAGGAAAATACTTACTTGGATCAAGAAGAAGATCTGATAGAGTAACTATATGAATAACCTAGAAAGACAAGTCAGCTTCTTCAGTAAAATAATTTGGATTATAAACAACATTGTACAATAAGAAGCACACATTGACTAACCTGCATTATATCAAAGTGATATAATATCAAAAATCAGTAAATCAAGGGTCTTCAATATGTGAATTATTATTATAATCTGTATTTCATAATTTAAAAAGTCAAAGGATTCTCATTCAAGTCCAAAGCAAGATTGGTGGTAAGAAGACCATTATTTGATTTAACTTACTTTTCTCCTTTTGTTTAAATGTAAAACTTTTTAATTAAGTGTATTTATTTGTAAAGATTTTTTGTAACAGCTATAAAAGCTTGTTATTCTCATTGTTAAAAGATATATCATTTTTTAGAAATTAAAAGAGATTTTTCTCTAAAGCTTTGACTTTGTTTTTGTTTATCTAAGCAAGATGAAATTTTTCACTTAGTAAACATTTGAATCTATGTCTTTTGTGTGCGATACCTTGAGACTAGGTTTGTGAATTCATCACTGGGGCTTTCACACCCTTGAGTGGCGTTCTTCGATCCACCCATCTATTCATCTCATCCACTGATCCAGCCTGAAAAAGACTTGAGTCCAGCATGATTGATCTCATAACCATCCACTTCGATCATCTCTTGAGCAAGTAGAAAGATACTTCAGTCCAGCTGCTTGCTTCCACCCATTCACCTAAACATTATAAAATCATACCCCCTTGATCTTTATATCATTTGGTATCAGAGCTAAAAACTCATATCCTCTATCTTTTGTATTTTTATTTCTGTTTCATGTTTTATCAAGATTTTCATTAAAAAGAAAAAAAAAGTTTTGGTTGTTTTTTTTCTTTAATTTTTATAAACTTAAAAAAAAATTAGAAAAAATAGTTTTATGTTTTTGTTCCTTGATTCATTATTTTTTTTAATAAAAACAAATCCAAAAAAAATTCAGTGTTTTTTCCTTTAAAATTAAAGTTTGTTTTTTTTATTAAAAAAATAAACAAAAAAAATTTATTTCTATTTATGTTTTTTTTAAATGAAAAAAAGTTTTGTTTATTTTCTAAAAGGAAAAAGAGAAAAAAGAGTTTTGAAAACAAAACTATTTGAAGAAGGAGAGAATAATACAATATTAAAAATCAGTAAATCAAGAGTCTTCAATATGTGAATTATTATTAGAATATGTATTTCATAATTTATAAAATCAAAGGATTTTCATTCAAGTCCAAAGCAAGATTAATTGCAAAAAAACCATTATTTGATTGAACTTATTTTTCTTATTTTGTTTAATTATAAATAATTTCATTTAAATATATTTATTTATAAAAATCTTTTGTAAGAGCTATAAAAGCTTGTTGTTCTCATTGTTAAAAGATATAGAAATTTTTAAAAATTTAAAAAAAAAATTCTTTAAAAATCTGGCTTTGTTTTTGTTTATCTAAACAATATAGAATTCTTCACTTAGTAAACATTTGAATTTATGTCTTTTGTGTATGATGCCTTGAGACTAGGTTTGTGAATTCATCACATGGACTTTCACACCCTGATCATCTCTTGAGCAAGTAGAAAAAGACTTCAGTCCAACTACTCGCTTCCACCCATTCACCCAAACATTATAAGATCATAACCCCTTTATCTTATATCACAAAGTATCTCTCCGATTTCTGTAGCTTGGAAACACTATGGAGCATTTCTGTATTAGTCTTTCTGTATTTTCCGAGTAGGTTTGCTTGAGCAACTTTGGCCTCTCATTCCCAATGATAATCTGCATCACAAGGAGTAGACATTGAATTCATAGAACTCAGTTATCTCTAATTGAGTACTTTTCTTCTAAATAATGGAGATCACATATAACACTACTTTAGAACAATACCGGAAGATCATACTTGAAACTATTAGCCTTACGTTGGTTTCCATCAATATGCTAGTCACGTAAATTTTTTTTTTTTAAAACTATGCATACCATCTTATCGTAATTACCCACACACGCTCAGCTTAGTTAACTACTTAAGCCTAAAAGAGAGAGAGAAACAGAGGCCCAATCACCTTCAACGTTTTGATATTCTTTCTGATACTTTGTTAACTTTTATATTATTATCAATGTTTCTTTGCGATAAGTGGACTGCAGGAAAACTTATCTGATATTGGAGAGAGCTACACAGATATCGTCTACAGGCTGCAGTCTGATCCTAAACACAAAAAGCTATATGTTAAACACGTTAGAAGTTTGTGCTTATAGTTAGATGTTCTAAATGCTCTTGCGGCTTAAGCGGAGCAACAGCGGGTCAAGTAGAATAAGCAACTTTGCAGGTAAATCTTCAGTATAAACTTTCACAATCCAAAACCTGAAACAATGACTCAATGAGATTAACTTTGAGAACATGATCGTAAGGACCGTTTATGACAGCCACAATGAGAGATGAGAACAATGAACGTGAAAGCTTTAAAATAGAAGTTCACACATGTTCTAACCATCATTATGATCAAAACACAAATATTGCAATCATAGCTAATCCTACTAAACAAAGACAACAGAGCCAACAAAATAATCCCAAAAAGGCACATAAACTTTAAAATCCACCAATGTTTTATAAAGTATCTCTAAATCCACCATAACCATAAACATAGAGTACATGTAGTAATCATTTTTGTTAGAAACGCTCACCAATTCTGCTTCATTGTCAGATAACGATCCATGTTCCATCACTTGAAGAGTTGCCTGCAAAAGATTTATAATGTTTACATTATATATTGAGAGGCAAACGTTAGAAGAAGAACCTCAAATCCAAAGTAATCCTATATAAACTGATATTCATAAAGAGAAATGTTCTACAACAATGGTGTGTCTGCAGCAAAATCTATTGTAATATACAGTAGGAAAATAAAAAGGAGGGAGAGAATGGTACGGACGAGGATGTGATGGGATCGAGGTTGACCATTGAGCAGTACAGACGAGGAGGTGCTGGGATGGAGGTTGACCATGGAGAAAATGGCACCTGCAAAACTGTGGATCGAAAATCACTACAGACCTTAGAAGAAGAACATTCAGGAGAGGAAAGAGAGGTAGAAATTGACTCTAATTCCGTCTTAATCATCTTTCATCTTTCACTTTAGAGGCATTTGAGATTTCGAGATTTGAGGTTATGGTTTCGCAGCGGAGGATTGATAAAAGACTTGAGATTTGGAGAGTTAAGGCTACAGAGATTTAATCAAAGAAGATAAAAGAGAAGATACGAGAGTTGAGGCTGAGGGGTTGTTCGTAGAAATTATCGGTGGTTGTTGGCGGAGATTTTATCAAAGAAGATGAAGATAGATTAGATTAGGTTTTTTGGATTTGGAAAGACGATGTAGCTGCCATATCAAACCGGATCCGGTTTGGGTGTAATTTTTAATTCGAGTTAAACCAGATGAAAGATAAAAGTTTGTTTTTAAGAGATAAGTGACAGGTGTTATTCACTAGAGAGACACGTGGCAACTTATCGAAAGTAGTGTAAAAAAAAATTATATTATATTAGAATAGATATTTTTTTTATGTTTATTGTGTGAAAGAAAATCGTGTGTAAAAAAAAAAAAAGCTGAAATTTTGATTATAAATGTTTTTTTCGTATTTGTTTATGAAACAAAATCCAGTAAAGATATGTATTGAAAAAAAGAAAAAATGACACATAACCTTACTATATTATATAAAATTTGTTTAAATGATTTGATTTTTTATTTATGTATGTTGGATGAAAGAGAATCGTGTGGAGAAGGGAACAAAAATGAATATTTGTTTTTATATTTGGTTGATGAAAGATAATTCAATAAAAATAGTTTTTTTTTTAAGTTAAAAAAGTGACACATATCAATTTCTTATATAACACATAATAGCATATCAGAGCTGCTTCTTAAAAAAAATTCTTACTTTATTATAAAAGACAAAATGACACATGATTGTACTATTATTATATAAGATTTGTTTGAGTGATTTGATTTTCGTTTTTGTTTGTTGGATGAAAGCGAATCGTTTGGAGAAAGAGAGAAAAAAACTGAAGCTTTGTTTTTCTTTTTGTTTGATGAAAGAAAATTCAATAGAAATAGTTTTTGAAAGAAAAACTTACAATTTTTTATGGTAATAAAAACGAGTTGTGTTTATAGATTGTTGTATCTCCGCGGAAGTATGTTTGGGCAGCCAATCGAGAGCATCTCTTGTACAATTCGAGTGGAGTCCTAATTTTTGTGTTATTTGCTTTATATTTTCTTTCATAATAATGTTATTTTAATATATATATATATATATATATATATATATATATCTTTTTTTTTGTTTGTAAACAACAATGTGTCTTCTTCCTTCTGTAATCTTATTTTTTATTGTTTCCAAAAATTTATGTATCCATTGTTATTTTGTTGTGATTAATAATCTCAACTATCATAACAGAACTGACATCAACCTCAAGTCCATTCTGGTGTCCATTTTGTTTTGATAGTTGAGATTAGTAATCACAATTTCAAGTTGATACTTGATCTGATGACCATATTACCCTTAATATTAATCTGTAAACAATAAATTTTGATTAAGAGATAATGCTAATTAAATTCTAGTAATATGTGTAGGAATTATTGATTTTTTTAACATTTTTTTTGTTTGGTTTTTATCTCATTTTATATCACTTAGAAATTATTTTATTGCTTTAAAGTCTTTTTTGCATCATCAAGTGTCATCATAGAATTCTAGGCCATTTTGTTACATATGCATTGTGTTTTGTGTTTTGTGTGTTTAGGGTATCATATAGTTTAGTGAGGCTTGAGAACTTGGGATAACTGTGGAACAAGAAATTAAGCAAGGAGAAGTCATGAAGAGGCAAAAAGATGACTAAAAAACAAACCTACATAATTGGGTCTGTTGCCAGTCTTTCCAGGTGCTTCTAAACAAGTTTTGTGGTAAGTTTTACTCAAGAAAATGCTATGAAATTCCAAACTCCTCAAATAACTAGAAGTCTCATTAACTTTTAGGTCAAGTTGTTGCTTTTTCATCCTAATCATTGGAGATATATTATTAAAGATTTTAGTGGAAGAAGTTGTGTTTATTCATTAATGTACACATCTATATATGTGTGATTACAATGTAAAACCCTAAGACATATATACAAAGACTAATGTGACCTTAATAGAGATTATAAAATACATATATTCACAATATTCCTCCTCAAGCTGGAGCATGAGGGTCATAAATGCACAGTTTGCTAAGAAGGTGAGACAATGAAGCACGACCAAGTGCCTTCGTGAACATATCAGCCGGTTGGTCCGATATGCGAATATAAGCCTTCGTGATCAAACCACTGGTGATTGCCTCACGAGTAAAGTGACAATCATTCTCAATATGCTTCATCCGTTTGTAAAAAATTTGATTCGCCGCGATATGCATTTCCGCCTGATTATCACAATAAAGAGTAATAAGACGATCTTGAGGAATCTCAAAGAAATTCAGAAGTCGGAGAAAACATTTGGTCTCACTTACAATGTCCACTATTGCTCGATACTCTGCTTCAGCTGATAAGCGAGACACTACTTTATGCTTGATTGTTTGCTAAAAAACAGGGGAACCTCCAAGAACCATCATTATGTAGCCCGTAAGTGAACGTCGTGTTAGAGGACAAGCAGACCAGTCAGCATCGAAAAACACTTGGAAGGTGAGATCAGGAGTGGCACGAAAAACAAACCTTGACCCGGAGTACCCTTGAGAAAACGAAAAACACGGAGTGCAGCTTCCAATTGAGACTGTCGGGGACTATGCATAAATTGGGACAGAATATGGAAAGCATAACAAAGTTCCAGTTGGATAATCGTAAGATAGATGAGACGACCTACCACACATTGATATCATTCTGGTTCATGATAGATATCATCTGTAGCAAGCGCGAGGCCGTGATTCTGCTCAATGGGAACTACCGAAGGGCAACAACCCAAAAGACCACATTCAATGATGATGTGTCAAAACAGTATTTGCATTGACACAGAAAATTCAGTCTTGGGAGCATGCAATTTCCAGACCAAGAAAATAGCGAAGATGTCCCAAATCCTTCATGTGAAAATAATTGCTCAAATACTCTTTAAAACTTGCAATAGCTGTGGGATCATTTCTTTCATTATAAACTAACACATAGACAACACTATCACCAGCACGAAGTGAGAAGAAGGACGTGTCAGCAGAGGATTGTTTAAAACCATACTAAACAAGCAAAGTACGAAATGTATCAAACCAACAACGAAGAGCTTGCTTAAGTCCATACAATGACTTATGCAGCTTGTACACTTTATTTGGAGATCCTTTGGCAAAACCTGGTGGGAGTGTCATGTATACTTCTTCGTCCAAAGTGCCATGAAGAAAGACATTATGTACATCCATCTGATGGAGTTCCCACTTCCAAGTTGCGGCAATGCGAAGAAAGGTGTGAACAGTCATTAACTTAGACACAGGTGCAAAGTTCTTCATGTAATCAATTCCTTCTTTTCGACGATTTCCCAAGGCGACTAGATGAGCCTTATAACGTTTAATAGTACCATCATCATTGTGTTTGTCTTGTAAATCCACTTGCACCCAATAGCATTCTTTCCCGGAGGAAGATTGGTAATAGTCCAAGTTGCATTGTTTTCTAATGAAGTAATTTCTTCAGACATTACATCTCTCCATTCCTCAAATGGCATAGCCCGTGTAAATGAGGATGGTTCTTCATCAGCAGTGATTGCAGCTAAATAGGCATAATAACTAGCTGAAAATCGATCAGAAGCAAGATGGTCAACAATAGGATAAGTTGTACCTGAAGAACCGGAGGATCCAGGAGACGGGGAATATGATGGTTTTTGAAAATCTTTCACAGTATAGTGTTCGTACGAGGCAAGTAAAACTGATGTTATCTTAACTCGTTTGCCGCGACCTAATGGATAAGTGTCAACAATCACCGGAGATGGTTCCACAGTAATAGTGGAAGATAAGGAAGGAGTAACAACAACACCCTCGGAAGAAAAAGACAACTCCGACTGTACTGTATCCGTGTCACAAGAAGGTTGTGGCGGTGCTATTAAGAGATCATGATCACTCCCCCTGTCTGTATAACTCCCCCTTTCCTCAATAACCAGAATGTGACATTCATCATCATTATCAACAAACAGAGGTGTAGACTGAATGAGAGGAACTGCACCTGGTGAATCCTTTATAAAAAAAGGAAACACTTCCTCATTGAAGACTACATTCTGCGAGACAAAATATTCTTCACAATCTCATAGACTTTCCAACCTTTTTGACTGTATGAATAACCCAGAAAAACACATCGTGAGGAGCGTTCATCAAACTTGTCTCGTCGTCGAGTGCCTTTGTGGGCATTGCAAAGACATCTAAACATATGAATCTAATCAAAAGATGGTTTCTTATTGAACAGAATCTCATAAGGGGGTACAAAAACCAAGAACCGAGGAGGGTTTGCGATTTATAAGATATGCCGAGGTAAGTACACAATCTCCCCAGAACTCGAATTGGAGAGAAGCCTGAAATTGTAGAGATCTCTCAACATTCAAAATATGTATGTGATTGTGCTCGACCCGACCATTCTTTTAAGGAGTACCAATACAAGACCTTTGATTCATCCCCTAATCAGCGAAGAAAGAGTTTAGGCACATAAATTATGTTCCGTTGTCACTTTGAACAATACGGACCTTCTTGTCAAATTGTCGCTCAGCCATACGACAGAAGTTTTGGAGAATATGGCCAACTTCACTCTTTGCTCAAAGCAAATGAACCCAAACGGTTCTAGAACTATCATCAACAACAGTGAGGAAATAAACTGATCCGCAAGTGTAAAGTGTTTTGTATGGTCCCCAGACATTGCAATGGATTAACTCAAAAACTTCAGAAGCTTTATTATTACTCTCCGGGAAGGAAAAACTAGGTTGTTTCGCACAAACACAAACATCACATGGAATTTTAGAGTTTGAGCTATCACTACTCAAATCAGTAACACCTGACGAATACGGAAGCAAAGACTGTGATGGATGCCTCGAATGACGATGCCAAAGTCCTGGAGAAGCCATTGCAGCTACATTAACTTGAAAATCAAAAGCACCCCGAAAGAAATACAAACAATCACACTCTCTACCGCTCCAATCAGCATCCTCGTCGCACGGTCCTGCAAGTAGCAAATCTTATCAGTGAATATT